AGAAAAAAGATAAGTTGCAGCTTAAGGGTGCGTTTGTTAAGGTTAAAAAAGGAAGGGAAATTTGCAGCATAGGTCTCAAACCTTTAAAAAAAGTTCAGTGTATTCCCAAAACTTTAAATCATGGCAGATACATTCTAATTCTTCAAAAATGTAAGAGCAACACCCTCCATTGTTACCTCGCGAGAAAAGGAGGAGGAGAATGACTCAAGAAAAAAGATAAGTTGCAGCTTAAGGGTGCGTTTGTTAAGGTTAAAAAAGGAAGGGAAATTTGCAGCATAGGTCTCAAACCTTTAAAAAAAGTTCAGTGTATTCCCAAAACTTTAAATCATGGCAGATACATTCTAATTCTTCAAAAATGTAAGAGCAACACCCTCCATTGTTACCTCGCGAGAAAAGGAGGAGGAGAATGGCTCAAGAAAAAAGAAAAAAGATAAGTTGCAGCTTAAGGGTGCGTTTGTTAAGGTTAAAAAAGGAAGGGAAATTTGCAGCATAGGTCTCAAACCTTTAAAAAAAGTTCAGTGTATTCCCAAAACTTTAAATCATGGCAGATACATTCTAATTCTTCAAAAATGTAAGGTGGAAGGACTTATAAATGGTTTTGTCCACAAATTCGTTAGTTGACAAAAAAGTCAAGTATCTAATCTCTTATTTTGATCAATTTTAATAAGGACAAAATGATAATTATATATTTTGCGTGTTATTAAATTTAGCCGACAAATGCGATTTCATTGATTTAGCTTCTATGTCGAGAGGCTTGTGTAGTGGGACCCACAAACTCTACCAATTGGATTGGATTTACACAATTTAATCTTAGATATGTTAAATTTTTTTATTTATATCAATTTAGTGTAAATTGTTGTCCTAGTAGTAACGATGAACAGGAAGCTATTTCATTTTAGTATAGTCAGTTTGTTGTAATATCAGTCGTATATAAAAAATTCATTAGCCACAATTTAGTGGAGATTAAAATCAAGATTTTTATCTAAGTTAAAGTTAATAATTAATATTAACTACATATTTCATGAAATTCATAATTTTTTATTTATCACACATTTAATAACTTTTATCAAAATTTTGTACAAACATGATTTGACTACACCACTAATTAGAGGTGTATGATACAATAAAAGAAGTCATTGAATATAAGAAATTTAAATAGATATCATAATTTTCAAATATTTTGTTACCTAAGCAGATTTTCCAATGACAGCACAATATTGTAAATACTAACTTATCTCTACACTTCTTCAGATACTGTATTGGGAAAGTTCGATTCTTATCACATTGAAAAGTTCAAATATTTAGATACTAAGTACAAAAATCAAAATTGCTTTAGTAACAAATTATTTGAAAATATTTACCACAAGGTTTGGGACCATGCTGTACTTTTTTGTGATCTCTGCTGCGAATTTCACTTTATAATATACTCTGGGTATGTTCGACTTCTACCGGTGGTCATTCACGTGGTAGTAGGACTTCATCGTGAAGCCGTCTTGAACTGTTAATACATGCACGAGGATAGATTAATACCACAGACATGGTATTCGACTCTGAGTCTCCACGACATTATTTTATAACCTTATTTATTTTATTTTATTTTATTTTTGTCAAATTATATTTATCCCATTTTTTTGATACATGTACACGAATCACTATTTTCCTCAACAAGCTAAAGTCGTATCTGGTGATTTGTCTGTGGATGAAAATTGTTGTGACTTTCATAACTTAAAACAGAAGACATTTTTCTTCATTTGATATGTGTGACCGGATTATACGTTGTTAAAATTATTAGACTTCTTATTTGAATAACAAGAAGGGGAGCCCACCCTCTTCAAGTTCATTCCCGTCGAAGTGTGATTATGAGTCACATTTCGTTAGATTGTGTAATTTTCTCTATAGTTGCCGCCCTTTCCATTTTGTCAGCTAACAAGAATCCCCTTAATCTTCGGTAAACAAGGAAAGTAGCACAAAGTGACTAACAAAGGAGGAAAGACACATCTTACATGCTCTTCAAAGGCTATGAATTATATGCAACTGAACCAGCCTCTTTAAAGTTTGGGAATGGCCAATGTTGAATGTCTAAATTTTCCAATGTTATTAGCCAGAGAGGTGAATATTACAATTATCTTGATTTATATTATTAGAAGAGGATCTGAATGTTTCCCACTTAGTAAACTGTAAGCCTCAAAAGCTATTGTTTTGCTCTATAAGAAAACTAGAAGAGATATATATGGAGTATGATAAAGAGCAAGTAATCACTGCATGGGATTTTCTATGCCAAGTTTGTATTATACTTGTTGATAGATGCTTTAGCTTAATGAATGTTTTAAGAAAAGTTTTGGAAGTGATAAAAATAGATAAAACTTGCCAAAAATAAAAAATAAAAATAAAATTAACTGGTCATGTTGAAAAAGCCTTGACGATGACCATTATTTTGTTAAAAAATCTTACAAAAATTAATCGTCTGTTATTGAGTTTCATTTTAATGAGTGTCCTAATTAAACTGTTGAATCGCAAGTGAAAAAAGGGGGGGGGGGGGGGGGGGGGGGGGGGGGGGGGGGAGAGAGAGAGAGAGAGAGAGAGAGAGAGGTGTGAATTGGAAAACCTGGAAAATTCAAGTTATGAGTGAAAATTTAATGAGCCAAATCTAAATATTGTTGTTGACCAATAATTGATTATAACTTTAAAGTTTTGATTATAACAAATAAGTTAATCATGTTTACTAATAATTGAATTTAAAGTGATTATAGTCTTTAAAGCATCCGATGATAAGTTAATCGATCGTCGTCAAAATATCAAAATCAAGACTACCACAAATTAGACTCATGAAGAGGGTCAAAATCAAAGCCACACAATCCCGACAAGTCTTTCAAGAAAAAATCTTAAAAAACAAACATCAAAGAAAGATCAAGATCAAGAGTTTAAGAGCCAAACATTAAAGATAGATCAAAACGAGAGCCAAAGAACCAAACTTCGAAGCAAGATCAAATGTAAACGTACTAATACTTTGATCTTTAGCAATGAATAATAAAAGCTCAAAACTCATTTTGTGCACTAAAAGCTATTTTGATTATCACTTGCATAAAATGTTTTGATCAAAAGCAAAATTGATTTTCAAAATTATATTTGAACTTAGATAATAAATTTAAAACATTATTTGCCTTGAAAACTAGTTAAAAACTCCTTCCAAAAGTCTAGATTTGTCAAAATTTGCGAATCAAACGTGTCAAAAAACAAGAAAATCGACGGGAACTATCATACATTCGAATGCTTGTTTGATTGGTCGTCTGGATCCCCAGAAAGTTTTGTAGAATCTCTCTCTATAAATTAGTGAAAGGCGGACGTTCGGTTCATCCATGCGGACATCTGGTTGATGCAATGGTTGGATTTTTGATCATTAAATTTCGTATTCATAATGGCTATTTTGGTCGTCCGAATTCAAAAGTGGACTTCAAGTTGGTTGACCGGATCGACCTAGTATTTTGTTTTTTGAGCTCTATAAATACTATCGCTCTTTCCATTCTTCACAAGAGTTTCAAGAGCAACAAGTGAGATATATTTTGTGAGAATTCCTTAAGTCTACATTACATTCATTTCTTTTATTTTTCACATAAAAACTTTGATTAATTCTAACTCTTTCCATCATCTTCATCAAAGTTTTTAATCTCTCCTTTTGTATTTAACTTATTTCTATCATTCATAAAAAGAGAGAGATATTTTGAAGAAATGTTTTCACCTTACATTGCATCTAATTGTTCTAATTCTTTATCAAAATTTTGATTGATTGAAACAAACTTGAAAAATCATAATATTCATTAAAGTTTCTCATAAATATCTTGGTACCTAATTTATTGTGATTATTCATTAAAAAAGAGAAATATTTTGAGAAGATTTTTGAATTTACATTGCAGTTATTTCATCTTCATCTTCTCATTAAAAAAGTTTTGATTTATTGTATCAAACTTTTAATTATCATACTCATCAAAGTTTTCATTTAACACTTGAGCTATCATTTGTTGCTATTTATTGAAGTGTTAGTCTCTCTTAGTATTTAATTCATTTGTATCATTTATCAAGAAATGAGTTCATAGTAAAATTAGTTTGTTATACTTGTGGGGTCATGTTGAGGTTTCGAAAAGCTCAATATTGTAGAAGGATCGGTACTCGTTGTTTGTAAGTCACTGCAAGCATTGTAAAGAACTGGATTGTACCATAGGTTAATCAATATAGTGAAAGACCTTACTCGTATTAGAGAACTTGGTAACAAGGGACGTAGATCATTGCTTTATATCAAACATCCACAATTATACCGTTTGCATTCTCTATTCCCTTTTATTTATTGCTTTCATATTTGCACTTATTATTTGAATTAATCTATTTAGTCTTTACTTGCTTGAGTTTAGTTTAACGCTTCAAAAAAGTTTTAGAAATCAATTTGCTCCCCTCTGATTAGATATTCTTGGGCTATCAATTGGTATCAGAGCTGGGTGCTCATT